CAGAGAAAGGATAAACCAGAAACTAATGAAATGGTTACTATTGGGGTGTGTAGGAAGAGAAAGGAAGGGATAAGGATGAGATTAAGACTTCCCCGGCTTTAGTGCTTTATAACATTTTGATTTTTCAACCATGTAAATGCTTTACCTATTCAAAAACAAAATGAGTCCAAATGGACCAAAAAAGGCAAACCCTAAAAATGAATACAAGAGAAATAAATTAATCTAACACATACTAAACTGGTTATAAAGCTATGCAGAAAAAATAATTCAAGTAGCTTTTAAACATAATACTCTAACTGTATACTTAGTGGGATATACTCTAAGGATAAAAAGACCTGCAAAGAAGCCTTGAACTTTACTTAATGAGTTTGTTATTGACAGTATTATTGGGGTAGCAATTCTGAAACTATTATGTCTATTGTAGTAAATATATTGATGCTTTTCAGGAAACAGGATTCTCACCATGGGAGAAGAGCATTCCAAATATGGAATGGGAGTTCTTTGATATTCAAATTTTGATTGGAAGAATGAGTAAGAATTCATGACGTAAAGTATCTCTGTTCACTGAAAAGGCCTAGAAGCAAGGACATGCCAGTAGCAAGAGCAGACCTACTACCCAAATCCCACTTTCTACATACCATTCATAACACGCTTTTAAAACAAAAGGCTGATTGGATAAATGGCTAATTACAGGTTAGGAAAAGGAAAAGCACAAAGTGAGTCTCTATCTTTTTGTGCCAGAAACAAGGAAGTGCCAAGAAATTAAGGGGGATACATTAAAAGGACAGAGGTTCCAGCTTAAAGGGTTCTCTCACTAGCCAAATGAGGAATAATTTGAACATCAAAAAGAATAATGATGGTAATGGATTAAAGCACACTGAATTTTAAAAAAAATAATAAAAGAACCCATGGGCCCAAACTCGAACTAAAAGTGCATAGTGGCTGTGTGAGGGGGGAGGTATTCTGCTTTAAAGAATGCCAGCTAATAAATATGGAAAGAATGATAGAAGTACAACTACAAACAAAATAACTGATGCAGGCAAGGAGCATCAATGGAACAAGATATTCATGTGGCCTCAAAGTATCACCATACTTCTTACTTATTAATTGCAAATGGAAAAAAGGTACTTTTACAATGGAGAGATCTGATGGACATTGCCTTAACCAAGTGATCAAACTTAGCACCACCAATAATGAAACTAATGATATTATCTGCCTCCCGATGATGCAATATAAAATACACAACACTCATGTAGTATTTTTGCCTAATGCGTTTAACCTGAATCTATAATGAGGAAACAATCAGTCAAATACAGACTGTGAGACAGTCTACAAGACAACTAAAGACAAAAACAGCAGGTGGACTGTTTTAGATGAAAGAAGAATGTGATGGATGATCTTTGATTGAATCTTAGACGGGAGAGAAAACATCTATAAAGGAAATTTTGAGGATACTTGGAGAAATTTGACCATAGGCTGTATGGTATTGTAATGATAATTTTGCTGTATCAATATTAAGTTCCCTGAGCATAACAACGATTTTAGAATGTCCTTTTTTTTTAAAGCGGATATATGCTGGAATTCTTAAAATACTATAAAATGTCTGTACTTACTTTGAAAGGATTCAGGTGCGTATGTGTGTAGAGAGAGAGAGAGAATGAGCACAAATACGGCAAAATATTTTAGCAAATTGGTGAATGTAGCTTTAAGAATAACGGGTGCTCGGGCCAGCCCCGGGGCAGAGTGGTTAAAGTTTGCGCGCTTTGCTTCGGTGGCCATGGATTCACCGGTTCCCATCCTGGGCACAGACATGGCCACCGCTCATTAGGCCATTCTGAGGCGGTGTCCCACATGCCACAACTAGAAGGACCCACAACTAAAATATACAACTATCTACTGGGGGGATTTGGGGAGAAAAAGCAGAAAAGAAAAAAAGAAAGAAGGTTGGCAACAGTTGTTAGCTCAGATGCCAATCTTTAAAAAAAAAAAAGAAAGAAGAAGAATGGGTGCTCATTCTACTATTCTTTCAACTTTTCTATGGGTTTGGCATTTTTTCAAAATAAAAAGTTGGGAGAGAAATTAAGATCTACCAGTCATCAAAAGAAACAAGTAGGTGAGTGAAAAAGGGACACTGCAGAGTAAAGGTACATGTCAGCCAGAAGATCAACAAAGGATTCATATCCAAAATATACAACAAGCTCCTGCAAATCAGAAAGAAAAATACAAATAGAAGAGTGGTTAAGGGATTTATGAGGAATTCATAAAAGAAGATATCCAAATGGTCCATTAACACATTAAAGGTTTGGCTAATCTCACTAGGAATTATGGAAGTGGAAATTAAAACCACAAAAAAATGTATCACTACACACCCACCAAATTTCATGGCTTAAATTTAAAAGGTTTGCAATAACAAGTGTGGCAGGGATGTGGAACAATGGGAAATTTTATATACTACTAGGGAGAGTATAAAATAGTGCAGCCACTTTGGAAAACAATTTGATCTTATCTACTAAGAGTTGAAGATATGCATTCTCTATGACCCATTGCTAGGTATACACCTAGCTGAAATGCATGCTTACAGCACCAGACATGTACATAACTGTTTATAGTGCCGTTATTCATAATAGCCCCAAACTGGAAGCAACTCAATGTCTAATATCATCAGAATGGATGAAGGAATAAATTGTGATATATTTATACAATTTTCATGTGATGGAATACTATTCAGCAATGAAAATGAACAACTACAATCTTCTGCAAAAATATGAATAAATCTAACAAAGTGAGTGAGAGAAGTCATATACAAAATAATGCATACTTTATTATTGCATTTATTTAAAAGTTCAAAAACAGGTAAATATAAACTACCATGTTTAGGGATGTAAACTTAGGTAGTAAAACTTATTTAAAAAGCAAGAAAGTGATTTCTATAAAAGGTTAATGGTATCTTGAGGGTAGTAATGACTAGGAAAGATCACAATAGGGAGTTCCAGGATGCTGGTGATGTTATATTTTTTTATATGGATGGTGGCAACACAGATATTTGCTTTGTGGTAAATCACTGAGGTCTACATACTTGTTTCATGCACTTTTCTGTATATTTAACAACAAAATAGACTTTTTAAGTTAAAAGAAAAATAGGAACTATAAGACAAATATGGAATTTTACATAAAAGAAAAAAGTAGCTATATTTTTTAAAGATAGATACAGAAAAGAAAAACACAGAGATTGAATTAAACAACCCAGTAGATGGGTTTCATAGTAGACTAGATACAGATGAAGAGTGAATTAGTGAATTGGAAGATAGAGTAGCAAAAGTGACCTAGAATATATCACAGACATATAGAAAGATGAAGAAAACAAAAGAGAAGTTTAGAGAGATGGAGGATAGCATGAAAAACGTCAATATACGCTTAATGGGAACTCCAAAAGAATAGAGTAAATGGGCAAGAGGTGATAATTAAAGCGATAATGGTTGAGAATTTTCCAGAATTAAAGAAATATATGAATTCTCAGATTGAAAAAGTACACCAAGTTTTTCATAGGATAAATAAAAACAAATTCATATCTAGATATATTGGAATAAAATTAAAAATTATAAAAGTGAGAGAATCCTAGAAGGTTCCGAGAAAAAAGATCAACTGCAAAGGAAAGACTACCAGACCAACAACAGACTTCTTATCATCAACAGATGAGATAATGGAATAATAGCTTCCAAATTTTGAAGGAAAATTAACTATCAATCTAGAAATTTATACTCAGTATATAATTCAAGAGTAAGGGCAAAATGACATTTTCAGATATAGTAAGAAACTGATTACTCATAAGCCCTCTCTGAAAATACTAGCATACTTCCTTCCTTCAGTAAGGAATAAAATAAACCTGGAAAGGAGGGGTAGGATACAAGAAATGTATTAATCATGTACTAAGAACTAGTAAACACTTGGTATCCTAAATATCTTCTGTTAGCTCTTCAGATCTTCCCTACGCCATTTTTCTCTCTGCTAAATGCCATGGAAGCTGGCCAGTATGGACCACATCAAACAAGCTCCCTCGTCCTCTGGCTTGCAATTTGGCTTTGCCAGCGGGGAGCCCTAATCGGACACCGCAGAAAGGGGTGGTCAGGTCAGACTCTACAGCCTCTTGGTTCCTCCTGGCAGGGTGATCCTTCGCTGGGTATATACCTCTGAGGTCACTGCTTCTCTCAAGATAGCTCCATATACACAATTCTCCTTTTGGGTTTCCATGACTGCTCTTTCCCCAAATCCTTTCAGGCCTAGGGGTGATAAAACTCTGGTTGCTACGAGCTCCTGCATATGACACTAGCTTTTGTGATTTTTTAATCTCCACCCACACATACTCATTAGAAAGAGTTGCTTTAATTTATTTATTAAACTCTCCTTGAATTATTCTAATTTGAATGTATAATTTGTTTTGCTAGGACCCTGACTGAGATGTTAGTAAATCTAAATATTGACTGTTAAAATATAATAATAATCACCACTAATTTGAGGGAGTTAAAATCATGATAGAACTAAAACATTAGACAATACAACACAAAAGATGAGAATGCTGAGTTTGCAGGACAATTAAGATCCTTCTTTTGTTCAGGAAGAATATAAAGAATTGGTGAACTTTAAACTCTGTTAGAAAAATATACAGTTCAGAATAAATGTTTAAAATTTTTAGAGTAACAAAATCTATATCTCCAGGTCTTGTTTGAGTTGTAAACCCTTATTTCCATGTTTTAGACTTCATTTCTTGTAGTGCTTGAAACTCAGCACATCCTACAGTGAACTTATCCCCTTCTCTGCATCCAAACCTCATCCCCATCTGTAGGCTGTGCTTAAGCTTCCAGTCATCTTTGACTCCTTCTCTCCAGCACCAACCACAGCCCTCCTAGGACAGAGGATTCTACTGATGAAATGTCCCTTGGCTCCATCCCTTTTCTACCTTTACACTGCCTTTCTTCTAGTTCATTTGTCATGTTCATACTCACCTCCTCTCTAGGCCTGAACCTGTTCCAGTTTCCGTTTCTGTCCTTCTCTGCCACACCAGACAGGCAAGAGCACTACAAGGAAGAAGTTCAGATAACACAGAGTAAGTGTCTCCTGGGAACACCACCCAATTGTTGAGAAACAATCACAGCTTAGCAACCAAGCCTGGAATGCTCAACCCGGAACTCACCGCCCCAGCTCCTATCCCAGAGAACCTAAGGTGGACTAGAGCTCCGCCTCCCCCAATTAGGACTCCTGGGGAGCAATGGCTTTATGATAACTTCTTTGAAATACCTGCCACATAGTAATTACTCAATAAATATCTGTTGAGAGGATAAATAAGTGAATGAACTACTTTTTTAAAAACTTGTGTTCAATCAAAAGTGTGCACAAGGATTTATATACAAATATGTTCACCATGGCATTATTTACCATAAAGAAAAATCCAAAATACTTTTGCCATTCAACAATACATTTACATTACAGTTCATACATATGATGGAACATGGCAAGGTCATTAAAAATAATTTTGTAAAATAATATTTATTGACATGAGGAAATGTTTGCACTACATTAAGTTAAAAAAAAGCAAGTGACAAAAATTATGTATAACACTGTTTTATACATATCCAACTAGATATTATATGTATACATTTATACAGAATGTACACATATATGTGTGTATACTGTGTATATATGCATATGTGTGTGTACACATACACACATATACAAACACAGAAAAAAACTGGAAGGACATGCATTAAAATGATAACATATCAGGACCAGCCCTGTGGCCGAGTGGCTAAGTCGGCACGCTCTGCTTTGGCAGCCTGGGGTTTCACTGGTTCGGATTCTGGGCGCAGACATGGCACCTCTCATCAGGCCACACTGAGGTGGCGTCCCACATGCCACAACTAGAAGGACTCACAACTAAAAATATACAACTATGTACCAGGGGGCTTTCGGGAGAAAAAGGAAAAATAAAATCTTTTTTAAAAAATGATAACATATCCAGATGGTAGATTTATAAGTAATTTTTATTTTCTCCTAAGTGCTTCTCTATAAATTCCATGCAGTTTAAAATAAACATATGTTACTTTTGGCATCCAAAAAAATATTAGTTTTTAAGTATGTTCTTTTAAAAATGCATTTAAACTGCTTGACATATTAGAAAACAGTCCATTATGAGCAAGGATGTTTATTTTAAAAAGCCTAATTCAGGTAAGTTTAACATGGTTTTTTGGCACTTTCTATATGCTGGTATCACGAGGACATTCAAGATGAATCTAAGATGACTGCTGACCTCAAAGAACTTAGAGTGAGGTAAAGAACAACTGACAAATCATTAGAGGTCAGGACAAGGCATGCAATATCATAGGCATGTACGATGCTCTGAAAAAACATAGAGGAGGGCATAATTAACTCTGTAAGAGTTAGAGAAGGTTTCAGAGAGGACGGGCTGGTGAGTACAGTTTTTCAGGATAAAAAGGAGTAGAGAGGATGATGTGGAAGGAGAGAGAATCCCTCAAACAAACACAATGGAATATGCAAAAAGCAGTGAGGCATGAGACAACATGACATGCAAAGGACAGCACATGCAGAACCGGTCAAATAATCCATGACGTCTCCAAATGGTGGAAGTATCATGCAGCTGTTAAAATCAGTATCTTAAATTTAATGAGTTCACTATTGGGTGGAAGTGTAAAAATGCAACTGAGGAGGAAAGACCTTATTTGCCATGCTGTGGCGACAGGGAGCCTCTGAAGGGTTTAAATCAGGGGATCTGTAATTTAGAGAGATCCCTCTGTTGATAATGTGGAAAGTGGACTTGAGTGGGGCAAGACCGGAGGCAGGAGCAAGAAATAATGGCCGCCTGACCTAAGGGAGTAGCAGTGGAGATGAAGAGAAAAGAATGGATTACAAAGACACTTCGGAGGTTAAAATAGGCATAAATTGGCAATTGATTAGAAAAGGTGAGAGGAAGGGCCAAGGAGAGAGAGGCACGTAGGATCACTCCCAGGTTCAGGCTTGAGTAGGTAAAAGCATTAATTATTGAAAATACAGAAAGAGAACACCACTTGAGAGGAGGGGCGATAATGGGGCACTTGAAGAAGACGATGGGTTTGAGATCACTTTAGATACCCAAGGGGAGAAGTCTTAGGGTTAGGATAGGCCAGAGCTCAGGGGGTGCTGAAGATATAGTAGTCATCAGCTTGGAAGTGATAGTGAAGCCCTTCTCCTACCTCAGGAGAGAATAACAAGTGCAGCGGGCTAAGAGGACATCCACATGAATAAAAAGGAAAGAACCTAGAGGAGGAGACTGAGTGAAAACAGTCACTAAATGGAAGCATGTGCTATACAGAGAGCACAGTGATTAAGAGCTTGGTCTTTGGAGTCAGAATGAGCAGAATGCTAGTTTCCTTATTTGTAAAATAGGAATAAAGATAATATCTACCTATTCATGAGAAAAATCCTCAACAATCTAGGAATAGGAAGTTACTTCCTCAGTATCATAAAAAGCATCTGTGAAAACCCTACAGCTAACAAGATATTTGATGGTGAAAGACCAAATGCTTTTCCTCTAAGACTGGGAACAAGATAAGGATGTCCATGGTGACCACTTCTATTCAATAGTCCTGGAGGTTCTAGCCAGGGTAATTAGGCAACAAAGATGGAAAGGCATGCACATTGGAAAGGAAGAAGTAAAACAAATGACATGATCGTGTACATAGAAAATCCTAAAGAATCCACTAAAAAAGAGAAAAAACTAGAACTAATAAACTAGTTCAGCAAGTTCATCAAATCAACATACAAAAATCAACTTACCAGCATACATTAGCTATGAATACACTAGACTTCGCTAGCAATGAACAGTCTGAAAATGAAATTAAGAAAATGATTCCATTCACAATAGCATCAAGAAATACTCAGGAATAAATGTAACAAAAGAATTGCAAGACATGTACACTGAAAACTATACAACATTGCTGAAAGAAGCTAAATAAAACCTAAACAAATGGAAAGACATCCCATTTTCACATTATCAGAAAATAAATATTACTAAGATGGCAACATTCCCCAAATGGGTCTACAGATTCAACACAATCCTGGTCAAAATCCCTGCTGCCTTTTTTGCAGAAATTGGCAAGCTGATCCTGAAATCCATATGGCAATGCAAAGGATTCAGAATAGTCAAAACAAACCTGAAAGAAAAGAACAATGTTGGAGGATTTATGCTTCCTAATTTCAAAACTTACCTCAAAGATAATCAAGACTGTATTTGGGGCTGGCATCAGGGCCTAGTGGTTAAGTTCGTGCACTCCACTTCGGCAGCCCAGGGTTTTGCTGGTTCAGATCCTGGGTGTGCACATGGCACTGCTCATCAGGCCATGCTGAGGTGGCATCCCACATGCCACAACTAGAAGGATCCACAACTAAAAATATGCAACTATGTACCGGGGGACTTTGGGGAGAAAAAGGAAAAATTAAATCTTTTTTTTTTAAAAAAAGACTGTGTAGTACTGGAATGAAGATGGACACATGGGTCAATGGGATATAACCGAAAGTCCAGAAATAGACCCTTACATTTATAGTCAATTGATTTTCTACAGAGAGGACAAGAAAATTCAACGGGAAAGGAATAGTCTTCTTAACAAATGGTACTGGGGCAATTGGATATCCACATACAAAAATTTAATTTGGTTTCCTAACTCAATCCATATACAAAAATTAACCAAAATGGATCACAAATCTAAATATTAGAATAACAACTTAGAAGAAGACATAGTAGGAAATCTTTGTGCTCTTGTGTTAGTCAATGATTTCTTAGATACAACACCAAAAGCACAGCAAGAAAAGTAAAAAAGGAAAACTGGATATTGACCAAATTATAAACTTTTGGGGGCGGGCCCAGTGGCATAGTGGTTAAGTTTGTGTGCTCCACTTCAGCGACCCAGGGTTCCTCAGTTCAGATCCTGGGCACAAACCTACACATTGCTTATCAAGCCATGCTGTGGCAGCATCCCATATAGAAGAACTAGAAGGATTTACAACTAGGATATCCAACTATGTACTGTGCCTTTGGGGAGGGGAAAAAAAAAAGAGGAAGATTGGCAACAGATGCTATCTCAGGGCCCATCTTCCTAGAAAAGAAAAAACTTTTGCACTTGAAAAGACACAATCGAAGAAGTGAAAACACAACCCACAAAATGGGAGCTAATATTTACAAATCATATGTCTGATAATTGACTTATATCCAGAAGAACTCTTACAACTAAACCATAAAAAGACAAATAACCCAATTTAAAAATGGGCAAAGGATTTGAATAAACATTTCTCGAAAGAAGATATATTAATGACCAATAAGCTCATAAAAAAGTACTCAACATCTTAGTCACTAGGAAAATGCAAACCAAAACCACGAGATATCCTTCACACCCACTAGAATGATTATAATCAATAAGACAATAAGTGCTGGTGAGGATGTGGAGAAATTGAAATCCTCATACATTGTTGGTGGGAATGTAACAAGATGCAGCCACTTTTTTGTGAAATAGTATGAAAGTTTCCCAAAATGTTAAATAGAATTACGATAAACCCAGCAATTTCACTCAAGTTATCTACCCAAGGGAGATGAAAATATATGTCCACACAAGGTGTTGTACGTGAATGCTCATAGAAGCGCTATCCACAAGAGCCAAAAGTGGAAACAACTCAAATGTCCATCTACTTATGAATGGATAAACAAACTATGGTAAAGGGAATACTCTTCAACAGTAAAAAAGAAGGAAGTACTGACACATGCTACAACATCAATGAACCTCAAAAACAGAATGCTCTGTGAAAGAAGCCAGACACAAAAGAACACACTGCATGATTCCATTTATATGAAACATCCAGAACAGGCAAATATAGAAACAGAAAGTAGATTAGTGGTTGTCTAACACTGGGGGTGAGAATGAGGAATGATTGTAATGGGCATGAGATTCTTTTGGGGGTGATGGAAATGTTCTAAAATTAGATTTTGGTGATGGCTGCACAACTCTGTAAATATACTAAATATACTAGAAATCATTGACCTGTATACTTGAAATGGGTGAATTTTATGGTATGTATATTACATTTCAATAAAGCTATTAATTTGTGTCTGTGTGTGAGGAAGATTGGCCCTGAGCTAACACCTCTGCCAATCTTCCTCTACTTTTTGTATGTGGGATGCCACCACAGTATGGCTTGATGAGCAGTGTGTAGGTCCATGTGATATTGAACCTGAAGTGACTTCACTCACCCGTTGCGCAGCAAGCCAATCTCTGAGACTAGGGGTAGTGGAAGAAAGTAGGAATTATATTATTGCACAGCGCTGGGCAAGGAGAGAGGGCAGCTAACGCTGAAATCCCAAACTCCCTGAAAAGCTAAAAGGAAGGGTTTTTCTTTGGGGTTTTAGGTACGGGAGGTGGATCATATGGCCTTGCTGGTCAGAGCTTTCCCACCAGCCTGTCTTTGGCCTTGAGACTATGCAGAGAGGAGGGAGCCTGTGACCTTGCTGGTCAGCAGCTTTCCCATCAGCCTGTATCTCTTTGCAGGGAGGAGATAACGAATCCAGGTGCTTGTCCTTGGCAGTGTCTGTCTCCATGGAGGATAGTGGATTCTGGAGCTAGGAAGCCAGAGAGTAAACAGGGAATGAGTGTTTTGGTTTTAACCCCACATATGCTTGGTTTAATGTAGGGAAACTGATATCAGGGTCAGTATCAACTCCCTCCTATCTTATGTTCATCCCTCAATCTTGAGGGATTGGGGCAGTGACCGATCTAGCTACTTCCTGCTGAAATGGGGCATAGGTTGTTTC